TACGATTCTGATTTTGTCGACTCTGTTTTAGCTTCCTCGACGCCGTCTTCGGCTTTGTTGCATTTCGCCGAAGCTGCGTATCGTAAGTAACTCTCTTTTCTTGTCTTCGGAATCTATAGATCGAATCTGCTCCTCACTTATTGGAATCTCACGATCTTTAGAAAGATCCCAGAACACTAATTAGTTCGTGTATGTTGTTTGTTGAATTCGAGCCAATTTCATTTCTTTAAGAATAAAAATCTCTTCTTTTTTAGATGGGTCATGCGCATTTCGTGTTTACTTTGAAAAGTTCTCTTCTTGACACAAAAAAAAAAAGATCCATACTTTAATTACATTTTCCCCATTTTGATCTTTTGACAGGTTGATTTGAAGAAGACCCAATTTGGATTTTGAATTGGAAAAGAATTGTTCTTATAAGAAAAAAAATGGGTTACATTGGAGCACATGGTGTAGCTGCTCTTCATAGATACAAATACAGTGGTGTTGATCATTCTTATCTTGCTAAATATGTTCTCCAACCTTTTTGGACCCGTTTTGTCAAAATCTTCCCTCTTTGGATGCCGTAAGTTATCGATATTATTTAGAGATCTTGTAGTCTTTTAGGTTGATTCTTTGGGATTGAATGAAAGATTGGACTAACGTTTTTTGCTTTTTCATGTGTTCCCTTTTGTTACTTTTGCTACTACCTTGGGATTCATATCCAGACCCAACATGGTATAATGTGATTCCTATTTCTCATTTAAACACTAATGTAGCTTTGTTGCTTACTTTGGAGATAATATTTGAGGTTTGTTTTGTAGATAACACTTACGGGGTTCATGTTTCTTATCACGTCTGCGTTGTTAGGCTATGTGAGTTTTGTTTGTGTGATTTCATATTCTTTATTCTCTTGAATCTTTCTGTTTTGCTCATTTGGATTTCTTTCAGGTATACTCACCTAAGTTGGATTCTCCTCCTCCTCGGTGGGTTCACTTTGCACATGGCCTACTTCTGTTTTTGTATCAGGTTTGCTCCTTTATCTTAAGGATCCAGTTCATTAGCTTGCTAAGGTTCATGTAGACTTATTTCGTTGACATATGTTGTGCTCTTATGATGGACTTTAGACATTTGACGCGGTTGATGGGAAACAAGCACGAAGAACAAATTCCACTAGCCCACTAGGAGAGCTTTTTGATCATGGTTTGTCAAATGTTCATCTTTTTTTTGTTTTGCTACTCTATTATTGTCAGTTTGTTTCTAGATATTTCTGACACCGGTTTCGTTTTTCCAGGTTGCGATGCACTCGCTTGTGCGGTAGGCATTGCAATCTCTTTTCTTATATTCGTTTATTTTAAAAAATTATTGACAAAGTTCCTGTAACCGACGCTTATATTTCATACTTATAAAACCAGTTTGAAACGATGGCATATGGGAGCACTGCTATGTGTGGAAGAGATACTTTCTGGTTCTGGATTATCTCAGCCGCTCCATTTCTGGGAGCAACCTGGGAAACGTAAGTGTTATATTTCAGTTTAACTTCTGTTCATCGTTGCAAGATTCTAATACTTTGCTCTTTACCCTTTTGTCTTAGTTATTTTACCAATACACTTACTCTTCCGGTAGTCAATGGTCCTACAGAAGGTCTTGCGCTTATATACTGCGGTCACTTCTTCACAGCCATTGTTGGTAAGCTTCAACGATCTTAAAATTCTGTATGACTAACATTTATGTTTTTGGTCTTTGATATTTGTTTTTTAATCTTCAAGGTGCCGAATGGTGGGCTCTGCAGTTTGGGGAGTCAATCCCCTTGTTTAGTTGGGTGCCATTTTTGAGCGGTAAGAAACCTTTTGTATTTCTGTTTTGCCTCAAATTTTTCTCCTTAACTTTTCTCGGTGTTGTTTTTACGCCATTAGAACTTTTCTCGGTGTTGTTTTTCAGAGATTCAAACATCCAGAGTAGTACTATACACGATGATTGCTTTTGCCGTTATACCAACACTTTCATTGAAGTGAGTCTTCTGAAAAATTCAGTGATTTTGTATGTCAAATTCTTACTATGCATTGCTCTGCTCACATGCATACTGCTTCATTTTCTACAGTGTGTCCAGTGTATACAAAGTTGTTCAGCTAAGAAAAGGAAGCATGTTTCTAGCATTATCTATGGTACTGTCTCCTAAACTAAATTGATTCGATCGATACTTAATATTCCGGTTTTTTTTTGTTGAGGTGCGTGTATAATGTCATTTTGTTTTGTGTATTCAGCTGTTTCCCTTTGTCGCGCTCCTTGCAGGAGTTTTGACATGGTATGTTTTCTATCTTCTTCTTCTTTCTCTTTAACTTACTCTCTTTACTTATTGTGACTTATCGGTTCTCTTGTCTTAATCAGGGATTACTTGTCTCCAATTGATCTCATAAGAAACTACCCTCACTTAGTTGTATTGGGAACTGGTCTTGCATTTGGATTCATTGTGGTAAGCAAGCAATTTGGTATCAAAATCGATATTCATTGTTAAATAATTAATCGAAAGCTGATCATTAGTCACGGTTTTATGATTCCAGGGAAGAGTGATTCTAGCACACTTATGTGATGAACCAAAAGGATTAAAAACAAACATGTGCATGGTAAAAATCCAATAAACTTCTTCTCTCTTGATCCAATTTTTTCGTCGTAGTGCTCATTAACCATCTCTTTTGCAGTCACTGCTTTACCTTCCTTTTGCACTAGCAAATGCTCTAACCGCTAGACTCAACGACGGGTATGTTTTTTTCTTTCTTATCCTATCGTTTTCATCGATTTATAGTTTTTGATAAATCAGATTCTGTTAATCTCTCTATAGGGTTCCTCTTGTGGATGAGTTTTGGGTTCTTCTTGGTTATTGTATATTCACAATGTCACTATATATGCATTTTGCAACTTCAGTCATTCATGAGATCACAACTGCACTTGGAATCTACTGCTTCAGGTTAGAATAATATATACTCTTTTTTGCCGTTTTTATCATTATTGTTTGCGAAAACTCGATAATTTAAAACCGTTCATATTCATCAGGATTACGCGTAAAGAAGCTTGAAGTAAAACGATTTGATGAAAGAGGAAAAAAAGTACAAGTGTTAAGGTATGTGCTTTAGGTTTTAGCTAAATCTCAAGAACTTGTGTGTTTGTTATTATGTGTTGATCTGATTTAGGAGTAACATTTTATTCTTCTTTTTTCAGGGAGGACAATGCAAATCCCAACACGTATCTGAATATTTTGTTACTGATATTAAATTATTTGATCGATATGTTTTTGGATTTATACTCATTAATGTTTCTCATTTTGTTTGTTTTTCTTGTTTGGTCAAAATAGGTCATTTATGTAGAACTCTTTTTTTTTTGTAACGTTTCTAAGAAAAAAAAAATCGGATTTTTTCTTATCCATGAATTTCGGAATTTTTGTCATATTTATTGTGATTTGCTTTTAATTTGTAGTAGTATATATCTAAGGAGAATATATACAATAAATAGCTATGTTTTTGTCTTTTGTTCATAAAAACAACGATGACAAAATTGTTCATTTGTAAAAGCGCTTTTTCCTTTTCTCTCTCACGACGATTCCGAGGACGAACGAAACCGCTTCTTCTTTCTCCTAACAATAACAGGCCGGCGCCGGTTCCGGCCGCGTCAGTCATGTTTTTTTTTTTCATTTTTTGTTTGTAATTAGATTTCTGTTCCCAAATAAAACTAGATCTACGATTTTGAAATTTCAATTTCGAGATCTGTTTCTCTTTCTCTCACTACGAGAGAATTGTTTTCCGACCATAATCCGACAAGAGTCTAGAAGTTTTTGTGTTGGCTTCAATCCACTCGGGATTTCTCCGATTGGTCTCCGTCGTTTTACCTTTGAAACGGTTCAATTTCATCACCAAAGTGTTTGTGATTCTGATTTAAATATATCCAAATTGAGAAGAGGTTTTCAAAGACGAATCTGGGATCCAGGTGTAAACTATTTGGGTGTTGCAGATTGTTCGTTAAGAAGAAAATGGTTATGGTCAAATCAAGAAAGGAACACGAATATTTGTCTCTTTTACGAACACGAATATTTGTCTCACAAAGAGATAGGATTTTTTGTTTTTTTTCTCGATCTTCCGAAGTCAACATGTTCTCCAAGTTAAATACAAAAAGCCCTTGCCGGTTTCATCAAGTATTCTGATTTCAACGAGAAGACAAGGTTCATGTTCATCATCAACAACATCAAAACTACTTTTATTAGTCAATATAATGCTAAGTGCAATTTGGAGTTTCTCGCAATGATGGTAGTCAACAAAGAGTTTATGAAGGGGAACATAACAGATTTCATCTGTTAGCCTATAAGACTTCCGAAAAGAAAGCTTGATTAATCTCCACTCCTTCATCGAAATTGTTTCAATTTCCCATATTTGTGTTAATGGTTGTATTGAGAATATTGTATCCTGTAAACTTCTTATGATATCAATATATTTGATTTGTCGGAAAAAAAAAGACAAAATTGTTCATTTGTCACGTAGGTTTTTAAACAAGTACTGTATTATATGTTATTTTTATTGATAACATTTTTTATTTTTTTTTAAATAACATATTATTTTTGTTGGGATGGAATTAGGATTTTCCGGATAGGTTACTTTGCGGTCTCTTGTATCCTTTGGTCCTTTGGAGTATGAGGTCTGTACACGTTAAAGCTGGTATGAGAAAATGTGTATGCACAAACAACATCATCAAGGTGGTATTCAAGAGGACGAGAAGGAGTTATCCTTCCAAAGATTATACGACAATTCATTTAAGAAGTGTGGGACTGGAACTCATTTCCTAATGGTTGGACCATGAGAGAATTCGTGGATGGGTTATTTTTCGTAAAAGCATTAGTTACCTCCCTCTAGCTTGTGCTTTTATCCCATGTATTTCCTTAAGAAAAGTATGTATAGAGGTTTTACTTTGAGGCTTTACACATAGTTAGTCGAGCCTAGAAGTTTAGAAAGTAAATTAATTCCAATTAGTAAGAAGTTGAGTGTAAATTTTTTTTCTTAAATGTACCAACATATATTCTTAGATTATGAACCACAGGTTCGGAACTCCTACAGTTTATCAAAAAAAA